GGGGTGATAAAAGTGTTTTAAACATAGATCGTGCTAATGGTTGCACAAGTCTGTGAATGCTAAAACTTTGAATTGTATACAATTTCAGGGTTGGTATATTATATCTCAACACAGATTATTTAAAAGAAGAAAGAATAGGAAGATGGATGTTGGAAAGATCTAGTAGAGATCTATAAAAAAGAACTCTTTAAAAAAGAGTACTTTAAGAGAAGGAAAAAAAGAAACCATTAGTTGGTGAGTAAAAGTGAATCAAAGAAGGATTTTTTTAAAAAAGATGATAGATATGTCAGTATATTTGGTCCAAATTTGTTGCAATTGATGCCATCCAAAAGGAAAATTTGAAGGTTAGAGAAAGAGAAAGCCTTCGTGGAACAGTGTTTTCAAGTAGGCAAGAGAGACTGGAGATTTAGTGCATAGGTGGGGGGTTTGTGCTGCTGGGAGAATAGACGGTTCATCCGTAGTACCAGAGGAGAAGGTGGAGTGTATTCACTCTGAGTCTGGCAGGTGAGTAGATTTGGAGTTGGGGCTTTTGAAAGTTCTTTTTTAATTGCTTCATTTTTCTCATTATAGCAGAAAGCACATTGACTAGCTGAGAGTGAGGATGAAGAAAGAGCTTTGGAAATTAAAGACAGAAATGTGAACTACTTATCCTGGAGAGTGAAAAAGAATAGATTAGGAAAGAAAGGAATGATTCCTGGGGTGTGTCAAGAACCCATGTGAGGTGTGGTGAGTGTGAGCGTAACACAAGACCGGTTGACGTGCTTGTTTATTTTTCTCCAGTTATCTGCGTCTGTGTGGGTTCAAGCATGGAGTAAGTGAAAAGGTGGGATGTAGCCAGGGTTTTTATTTTTCCAGAAAACAGACTCTGAGATAAGATTTGTGTGCAGGAGTTTGTTGAGGCGTGTTCTCAGAAGCAGCATCTATAAGGCAGTGGGAAGGTGGAATGGGCAGAGGAGGGCTGAACAGCAGTGCAGTTCTCAGACAAATTCTCCAACAATTCTAGATGGAGCTGTGGAGCTGGGATGACCCTCCTAGTTGTCCCAAATTGAAGCCAGGAGGCTAAGCATTTTTGCCCATTTGTAGACAAGCCCATATTTATTTATTTATTTATTTATTTATTTTTATTGAATGGTAACTATGTACATTAATGCACTTCTGGGGTACAGTGTGGGGTTTTCACATGCAATCTGAAATACTTCCATCAAACTGCTCAACACAGCCTTCATGTCATTTTCTCAGTTGTTGCTTTAAAACGTTCACATTCTACTCTTAGAAATATTCACCTGTACCCCAAGCTCATATTTAGATATGGGCTTCCCCTGGGGATGAGGCACAGCCTTGGGCAAGGAGGCTCCCTTTGGGTAAGGAGGATTCCTCAAGAAAGACTTAGCTTTGAGATGACAACAGTCAACAAGGCAGAGAGAGCCTCAGCTCTGATGGGGAGATCATGGAGGGCACACCGCAGAATCCACCACCATTCACCATGTCCACTGCTTGCTTGTATGCTGAGTTTACCTCTTCTGAGAAGACCTCCTCTAGGATTCTGATAGCCTTCTTTTCCTAGACAGACTTACGTGAGGAAGGTTAGTGGGACTAACCACCTTTCCAGCTGATTGAGACGCTGCCACTGGTACTCATCATTTCTCTGTCCTGCTGTCCATTCTAGTTTCTCTGCTTCTGGGACTAGCATCTCTGCATGTCGAGGTGGCTTACCTGTGAAATGCCCCAGATGCTCATACAGGAGGTGTCTGAGCCCTACCCTGGCTACCAAACCATTCTCAAGCTTTGACTGCTGCTTTTGCTCATTTACTGAAAGTCAGGCACAGCCCATGATGGACTGTGAGGCAAAACTGAAGATGGACATCTCCCATTAAGAAGGGCCAAGCAGAAAGGTGAAGGATTGGGTCCCTGGTGGCCATGATTTAAATTCTCAACTTCTGAATTATTTTTAAATGAGAGGAAAAATAAACCCTTAAGTGTTTAGTTATTATTGGATTCCTATAAACAGCTAAATAAAATTCTCAACTCTACTAACAGTGTAAGCTGGACAGTCTCCTAACCCTTGATCTCGGTATCCCACACATCCAGTAAATATTTGAGCTTGCTCTGTGCCAGATACTCTTTTCTTTCTCTGGATATACCAATTTTTAGTCAAGGCACCATCATTCTCCAGATGTATAGAGAGCACTAATCTTGGAGTTCCCCGTTAGTCGTCCCACCTGCACATCCAGTTGGTTAGCAAAGCCCCTTCTGCCCCAATAGTACCTCCCGTAGGATAGCTTCCTTCTCTCCATCCCTGTTTGCTCAGTCCTAGATCAGGTGTTCTCCCCAACCCCCAATCTGTTTATTACGAAAGCTTTGGTCTTTCATTCTCATCCCCAACCTAGCCTACAAATTGCTCTATTCTGCTAATATTTCAGTCTTTTAAAAGAATACTTTGAGTCTTATTAATTCTTCTCAAAGGCCCAGGATACCTTCCCATTATATACCATATTAAATCTAAATATCTTTGTCTAAATACCTTCATCTTGCATTCCAAACCTTAATTCAGCCTTGGAACACATTTTTCTCTTTAACACTCATTGGGTTGGTTACTAATCATTTTCCCAAACATGTCTCCCATTTTCCTGATTCTGTGGCTCTCAGCCCGCAACACACAGGGCCTGTTTTCCATGACCTTCTTTCTCAGAGTTTCCATTTTATTTCTTTCTTGGCACTTAATCACAGTTTGGAAATGCATTGGTAACTTACTTATTTATGTCTTTTTTATTTTATATTTTCACCCTAAACTCCCTGAGGGCAGAAACTTCTGTCCATCTTAGACACTACCCAATTTCCAGTGCCCAAATGAGTGTCAGAGTAGGAGCCCAGCAATTATTTGTTAACTGAATAAGTGTGACAACACTATAAAGACCCTCAGCTTCACATACATCTACAATGGTTTTAAGATTGAAGGTGGACAAGGGGTGACACTACTCAGGCCCCACCATTTCTGTGAACAGCACCCTTAGATCCAGGGGTAAGTGATAAAAGGAGCACATTGCCTCCTGTGGACAGGGAGGGAGGTAAGGCCACCCACAGGGGAGGCTCCTGCCTTTTGGGCTGTGGGTCCTCCCCAACCTCCACGTGGTCTCTTTGAGTCAAATAAATACACGTCTTTCTTATTTTACACTCACCTTACACGAGGCCATGAGTATTTCTTAGCTTTCAAAACCCGACTTCTCTTGTGCACCTTCATCTAACTGCTACAAACGTAGTTTGCTCTTGTAATAGGAAAAATAAACACACTTAGAGCAAGGGGCGAAGTTTTATTTTTCCCATAGGCAAAGTCGAGAAACAAACAAAACACCCCCCCACCCCTAAACTCTCCAGAAACCTTATAATGATAGGAAGGAAAATATGTCTGAGAAATTTTATTTATTCAATGGCAGGCAAGGAAATATTTTATGATACAAGGAGCCTCAATAAGGGAAACCTATCATAGCAGCTGCGCAGTGGCCGCTAAAGTGTTGCATGCATGGGTAGGCGATAGATTTACTTATCAGGGTCACAGAAGTACCTTTTATTAATCCAAGGAATCAATGCTGGCTAGGCAGGCTTTGTATTCGAGACCAGGCATACAATATTTCTTGTACACTTAGAGAATTTCTATTGCCTTTTGATACTCTGGGACATTTCTTTTTATACACAAATTGGGGTGAGTGGGTGTGTGTGTCTGTGCGTACATGCATGCACACACGTTCGTGTTCATGTGTGTCTAAGTAAATAACACTTTGAGTATTTAATAAGACATATAATTTGTAATTTGATACACATAAAAGGCACCCTGGAAAAATCAAATGGACAACGAAAGATGTATTATTATTTTTTTAGGCAGTTCTTTATATTATTGTTATTTGAATGCCCTTCCATTACTATGCTGTCTGCATCAGGCCTTTCCTTGCTTCTCCTCCACCCTTCCCCCCACCCCCCAACTTTTTTTTTCTTTTGGCAGAGCAAGAATCTTTTCAGACTGTCGCAAACATAATCTATTTTTAAATTTCCAGAATTTCAGGTCTCCTGTCATTAAACATGACAGAATGATTTAGGGAAAGAGAAAGCATTGTTTGCAAAAGAAAATCAGTTTTTGGAGTCGCCTAAATGTATACCAGTCCTCTGTTTAGACAGCATAGCAGGCTCAAACTGAGTATTTTCAGAGTGTACAGTGGAATGTAGCACTTTACAGAGATGTTAATGGAAGTTATTAAAAAGGATATGTTTTGAGTAGGACTTTTAAGTTTTATCCAGAAGCTACAAATCATGGTGTTCTGTTTTAATATGCACATGACCCTTATTTTGATCAGGGTTTGGAAGCTTGATCAGGGAAGGCCTGTTTAGGACGTCAGTTTTTTAAGAAAGAAAGCTATTTTTTTTTTTTTCCTCCAGGGCAACTGCAGTTTAGGACAGGCACAAAGCTGGGAACATTACCAAGGGCAGAAAAAAAATTCACTCCTATGTTCTATTTGTCAAACTGACCTGCAGGTCGCAACCTGAAAGTTTATGGATCGGTGAGGCCTTGTCTCGGCATAAGCGTGTTTTCTGGACTTTGGCTGAAGCTAAATTCCTGACTTCTGAAAGGGGGTGGGTGTGGACTTCCAGCAGGAATAGCCAGTGGGAAGGAAGTAATATTCATTAAGAGTGTCTCATGCAAGCCGTGCTGGGCTAAGCATGCTCAGTGTAAATTCTCCTGGAGCCTGTCAAGCTATGTTTGAACTCGTTCCAGAATACTGGATTTACTTTTTTTTTTCCCACCAGGAAGAATACTCGATGATTAGACTGCATTTTGCCTTGCTTTCTTTTTCTTTCTCTCCTTTTCTTTCCCTTCCTTTTCTTTCTTTCTTTCTTTCTTTCTTTCTTTCTTTCTTTCTTTCTTTCTTTCTTTCTTTCTTTCTTTCTTTCTTTCTTTTTTCTTTCTCTTTCCTTCTTTTCCTTTTTTCCTTTCTTTCTCTTTCTTTTTCCTTCTGTCTTCTTTATGCCAGAAGAATGGAAACAATATTCTTTTCCGATCAGTTGAGTAATGCAGTGTCCTTCAGTCTCCATATGAGCATTTCAGTGGAGAAGAAAAGAAACTTTGCTACCTGGGAGCTGAAGACTACTTAGGTCAGTAAATGCTAATAAAGTCTTTAAAGACTTGTGGAAGCAGGAGTTAACTTTTCTTAACTGTTAAGGTAATCTGCAGCAAATGTAATTGCCTTTTCAACTGGTGGGTGTACACCAATTTTATTCCACACAAAAACTGTTTTTCGTATGTTAGAGTGATTTTCCCAAACATAGGGAAAATATGTCTTTTAGTTAATTTGCATTTGAAAGAACCTCTTTTTGTATGAGAGGTTCTCTCTCTCTACCACAAATTATGTGTTTTTCAAACAAATATTGTGGTAAGCTGATGTAGCCGTAAGGGTTTGAATGTGGATGTGTTCTGTGTTCTATTAATTCTTGGCTTGGGCTGATTTGGTGAAAGTTATTGCTTTTGTTACTGCCAAAGATGAAAGGGAGTTTGTTTTTTCGTGGTCGTTGTTTTGGAACTTTTGGTGAGCTTTGAGGCTGTATTGTCAGCTCCTTATAGAGAAGAAAGCCATCTCTTTCCATGTTTAATGTTTATCTTTCAAAATATTCACTTCTAATTCTAAGAGAGGGGTGCAGCATTTTTAGAATCTATGTAGGAATAGTTTTTTTTCTTTTTTAAATGTTGTTTTGGAGGGAAATAGTATATAGAAAAGCAGAAACAGGGTTTGTAATAAAGAATTTAAATCAAGGCCGTCATGAATAATATAAGCAAAAGAATGTAAAATATACTGCGTGTTATATATTCACTGATTTAGTTCAGGTTAATAATTTTGCTTTTTATTTTAAAAAAAGTAGATCAGACTTTAAAGGACTATCTTATAATATCAGCTGATAACACATTAAACTCATTAGAGAGGTGATAGGATTTCAGAAAAATCAAGCTAGCAAAGGCGGCCCCTTTAAAACCCTCTGAAAACTGAGGTTATGAAACCACATGGCTGCGTGCAGAAACAGTGCATCCTGGGCTGAGGCAGTTTAATTTTATTCAAGAATTTTAAGAGTAAAAGGGGATTTATTTCTTTTCAAAAAAGAATAGCCAGGCCAGGATTATTGATCGGTCAGGGATTAAATATTTGCCGGAATACAAAGCTTCACATATTATCAATGTGTAAATCAGACTGGCCAGCTATTCAGGGGATGTAAATGAAACCCCCCTAGTTTCAGCCAGAATCAAATGCAGCGGCACCCTGCCCTGCCTTCTCCATCTTTATGTCCCAGAAAGGGATGATAGAGGTGGGGCAGGGTGTGAAATGAGACTTAGCCGATGAACTGACCTTGCTCTTTAACTTCTGTCCATCTGTTCTTACTGGGCAGCTGAAGCTGTGAGCAAAGTGGGCCAGGACCTCAGGGGAGACCAAGAAGCAAGGGCCAGACCAGCCAGGGCTGTGATCTGCTCCCCACCCTGTGAGTTAGATATCAGGAGAGGAGCTAAGTGGATGTGTCTAAATCCACTTCCTTCTGCTCCCAGGGCTTTGATTTAGTACCAAATGCTGCTTTTCTGCACCTGCCTCTGTTTTTCATAAGTAAAAGCTTCTCCCCATGCGCAGATAGCAGTTTATTCGATATAGATCAATCCCCAAGGAGCTTGCCCAAGTAATTCAGTCTCATTCTGGCTTTTTTCTTTCTTCCTTAACATGTGGCGTGGATCTTGATGAGTTTAATTGAAACAACAAGCCCTTTTGGGGGTGGGGGAGCACAGCCCGCTCCAAAGTGTGTGTGCACGTGTCACTTGCAGTTTGGGCTCTGGGATCCTGCCCCTTGGAAGGTTTTGCAAGGCTGAGAGTATCTATCTAGCGTCAGGGACTTACCATCGCCTTGGCTCTGAGTTGATGGAGAGGAGGTGGATATTCTGGAGCATTCTGTATCTGTTTCCTGTTACCTCACCTCTGTCTGCCCCCTCCCAGCTCGGTTCTCCCTTCACTGTCTGTGTCTTAAAGAATAGCACTGAAACCTTTGAGGCACAAAGGGAAACCGATGGGTATGCTAAGGAGCAGAGAATAAGCAGAAGGTGGGCCTCTTCATGTTCACATCTGGATAAAATTTAGATGGTGACACAGGAAAATGAGTGGGAGAAACAAAGTCTGATATCACATTAAAAAAATTTATATCATGAGCTTCCTAGAGTTTTTCTTGTCTTACGCTTTCTGAGCATTTTTGTGTCCCGCCCACAGCTTACCCATAGGACTTGGGGGAGGGCAGGTATCATATTCTTGTTTTCTTGTCAAGCCTGGTGCTGTGCCTGACAGATCCCTCAAGATCCTGTCCAAGTCTCTATCTACACAAGAACAGGAACGATCTGGAGTCAGTTTCCGTATCTGGGACTCAGTTTCCCTGTTCACTTTGAAGTTTTGGACAAAGGCGTTTATTCCCTGTAGTGATGTCTCAAACTAAATCTGTTACTGTTATCTTAAACCTGAGAAGTCCTGGGAACTTTTCAGGGCGCTTCCACACCTTTCCTTTGATCTTATTTTCAACACTATTAAAATAGATCGAAGCAGCGTTGTCGTTTTCATTTGACAAATGATGAAACTGAGAGATTGAATGACTTGCTGCCTAAGGTCAGATCCAGGCCGGATGGGAACTCAGGTTGCCCAACTCAAGATCTGAAATTCTAGACCATCCTGGCTCTCTGGTTACTGAGGTGGAGTGGAAATACCAGGAGGAGTCCCATGATTCATCAAGGTGAAAGTGTGCAGTGGGGCAGGGGCCATAGATATTGTTAGTCACATCATGAAGGAGAAAACTCAGGCTGGAGAAGTTATGTATGTCACCCGTGAGTCACACTCAGGGAGCTGGGGACTTGGGTTTGAATCCTATCTGTGGAACTCCCAAATGTGTGGCATAGGGTGCAGCGATTGAACACATGGGCTTTGCTGTGCACCTCTTTTCCTCCTGTGTAGAAGGGGAATACCGTGGGTTGCTAGGAGGCGATGTAAGTAGAATACTTAGCATTGTACTTTGCACAGACTAAACCCTTATACGTCTCTATGAGTCCTGGCCTTGCTGCTACTATGCTGTATAACTCCAGGTAAGCATAAGTTACTCTCACTATGAATCCCAATCAACTCTCAGCAACACCCCCAGATCTTCAGGGTAGTTGTGTCAATAACATCATCAGATGAGTAGGACTTAAGGCATATTCATTGAAAATACAAAAACTGGGCTAAGGGGCTCAGATAACTAAAGTAAAAGTCTTAGTTCCTTTTCTCTCGCCCCTCGGAGAGGCTGGAGGGAAGGTTATCCAGACAGACGTGTCTGAGATAACCACCCATCTGTGATTCAAATCTAATTGTCTTTGGTGACCTTCAGCTGCCCTTGAGCAGGATTGTTGGACATGGTGAAGACCAATGAAGGGAAGGGTGGTGAGACTCAGAGATCATTCCAGATTTATAGGTCCAGTGGGTATTAAAAAATTAGCAAAGGCACCTGTGCAGACAGGACTTAGGGCTGTCAAGATTTGGGGGTGTGGGGGCCCTTCTGACCAGTACCAACCTAGCTGCTCAGGTACACTGGGTGTCTGGGCTCTGAAGCTGCTGGGCTTACATGCAGCATTGCTTTAGAAAGATCCTCTTAAGCTCAGGGCCTGCTTCTGACCAAATCAGTTATTTATAGTTGAGTGTTCTCTGTATTGAGGAGTGAGAACTGTAAGTTTGCAGGCACGGGGCCGCAAAACCATAGAATGAGGGGCTGGTTCCTCAGAGCATGTTCTGTGACACCTTGCCAAGTCCATGGTACATGGGAGTGCGCAGAGGACTTCAACACAGATTGGCAGAGCGGGTCTGTTAGTGCAGGGTGTGAGGCGCACTTCAGGGGCAGTGGTGGATGGTACAGGATTTTAAGTGTCTACTTAAAGTTCTTAAATTCTTAAACTCTTAGTTCACAGTTCCCTTTCCCGTGCTTCTCCCTGGCCTTCTCCTTCTTGTCTGTGCTGTGAAGGGACTGCCACCGCAGGGGCAGGAAGGTGGTTTACTGAGCCGCTGTTATGCACTGGGTGCTAGCTTTATGCTTTATCGACATTATCTCTCTTTGTTTTTTTATTAAGTCAAATACACATAGGTCATGAATACAGTTATGCATGAGTGGGGTACAGTGTGTTGGGTTTTTTTATACAATCTGATGTGGTTACATCAAACCAATCAACATAGCTTTCGCCTCATTTACTTGATTATTGTGTTAAGACATTTATGTTCTACACTTGACAGATTCGGCTTGTACCCTTGTAATGTGCTCCATAGGTGTGGACCCGCCTTTTGCCCTCCCTCTATTAAACCTCCCCCCACCCCACCCTTCCCACTCCATTTCTCTCCTTTATCCTGGGCTATAGTTGTGTTCTATCTTTCATAACAAAGTGTGAGTAAATATAAGTAGGTTTCATAGAAGTACTGAGTACATTGGATACTTTTTTCCTCTATTCTCGAGATACTTTACTCAGGAGAATACGTTCCAGGTCCCTCCATGTAAACATAAAAGAGGTAAAGGCTCCACCTTTTTTTAGGGCTGCATGGTATTCCATGGTGTGCATCTCATTCAAAGGTCACAAGAAAGTTTAAAGAGGAGGAAAGCTGTCCTGATAGGAGAAGAAGGTATGTGCTGGGGCAAGACGGGTCTTGCCATCCAACTGAGGATGCCATGTGCAATTGAAAGGCCTTCAAGGAACACTGTAGGTGAAAAGGACTGCTGATGTCTAACAGACTAAGTCTCTTTGATGGGTCATGCCCATGTCTCGCCTAATTCAGGATCTATTATTGTGTATCGCCCAGAGTTGGGCAAGTCCCGTCCCATGGAGTGTTACAGTTTGGTTTGCCGTGTGCACTGCCTGCCTCAGGGAACCTCTGCACTTGCACAGCAAATCCAATTTACGGTTCTTTTTTGTTCATTTTTTACAAATAGGTTCTTATAAGTTTTGCAGTTTTAGAGTGAAGAGCTCAGCAATCTTTAGGTAATACAGGCAGCACGAAAACAGGATTTGGAGTGAGATGACTGGGGCTGGCATCCCAACCCTGGAATTAGTAAGCTGTATGACATTGGGCGAA